GAGGGACCCGGAGGAATCCCCCAAAAAGAGGAAATAAAGCCTGAAGGGACCCCTGAATAGAGGACAACAAGCTTGAGAGGCAGCCTTCATGAAAAAGCAGTCGGAGAAGGGTGAGTGAGAGTGGCTGAATTGTACATTAACTGTACACTAGTTGTATATGGACTGTGTAATATTGAAGCAGGAGGGAATAAATAGAGAAAAGGGGGGATTCCTAAGGGGACATAAGAAATTGAACTTCTTTAAAGGACTTATTGCAGCACATGCCCTAAAGTTTTAGAGGAGACAGACCGGACCTACAGAAAATATGAAGAGTAAAAGTAGTAAAGGGAGCGGTCCCAAGCACTCCCAATCTGGAACGATTAGAAAATATACGTCCCAGGGTAATGTGACCCCAGAAAGAACTCAGGGGATATGTGAAAGAAGTATAATGGAAAATAGTATGGATAAGAGCGTCAGGTCATCTGTGGAAATGGATAATAATAGTCAATTAATACCAGAGGGAACAGAGCTAAGAGAAAATGAAGGAGAACTACAAATCCCAAATAAAAAGGAGATGGCAGAAATGTTTGGAAATTTGGAAAAATCTATTAAACAAGAGATGGGAATCATTCGGAATGATTTGGGACATTTATTATCCAGAGTAGAAGAAACAGAAGAAAAAAATTAAAAAACATGCTCAAGTTATCCCTGAATTGAGAAATCAGATAATGGAGATTAGGAAAGAACAAAATAAGTTGTGGTATAAGTTGGAGATACAAGGTAACATGCATAGGAAAAACAACCTCAGGATAAAAGCAGTCCCGGAGCTTGTACAAGGAGAAGATTTAAGAGGGACAATACATAAAATTTTAAACTCCATTATGGATAAACCTAGTACTGAGATATGTGAACTGGACAATGTATACAGGATAGGAAGGTTCCAATGAGATCGGGTGGAAGAGAGACCGAGCGATGTAGTTGTACAATTCCATAAAAATGGAGAGAGAAGAGGAAGAAGATAAAAAGGAAGAACCAGTATTAAATTTGAAGGAAAAATATATACAAGTTTTTGCAGACCTGACAGCTGAGACATTGTGGAGAAAGAGATCATTGAAACCACTATTAAAACAGATGAAAAAACAGAACATACAATATAGATGGAGTAGCTCGATGTGTTTAATTGGATGGAAGAATGGAGTTACCGCATACTTAAAATTTCCGGAGGAACTGAGAGACTTCTTTGATAAACTTAATATCCAGAGAATAGAGATTCCAGGTTGGGAGGAGGAAGAAGGAGGGATATATGCTGGGGGAAAAGAAGAGTGGCAGCAAGTTAGAAAAAGAAATAGAGAATTGATAGATAGGGGAACTTTGGAGGGAAGGTGAACCGTACATGGTCAGAGCTCAACCCCAGGGTCAAAAATCAAACATGGTATTAGGTCCACAAATGATTAGAAGGCAATTAGTAGGCCTATTGGGGTGGGGGGAGGGCGGAGGGGGCTATTAAGAGAGGGGGGGTAGGGACATGGGAAAGGTAAAGAGTAGGGGGGTAGTAAAACTCTGCAGGATAAGAGAAGGAAGGAAGGGGAAGGATAAGTCAGCAGGAAAAAAGTAAGATGGAAGAAATCCAATATATATAACCTACAACGTAAAGGGGTTAAAGGGATTATTTAAAGAACTACAATATAGAAAAACCTCAGTGGTATTTCTGCAAGAAACACACTTAGAGATAGAATCAAAGGTTAGATTGAGGACTAGACATTTTCCAACATGGTTTTATGCGGACTCACCAATTAAAAGAGCAAAAGGAGTGGCTATAGGCTTTGCAAAGAATATAAGGTTTGAGGTGGAGGAGAGATTAACGGATTTGGAAGGAAGGTTTTTATTTTTGAGAGGTAAATTACAGAGAATTGAGTGTACAATAGCAAACATATACAGTCCAAATAAGAGGCTGGAGACGTTTATGAGAGAAGTGTTTAAGAGATTGATGGATTTTAAAAGGGGGTCTATGATAGTAGCGGGAGACTTTAACATCTGTATAGACCCGCGGATGGATACCAATTCCTGTGTGAGGAGGGAGGAAAGCAAGTCCGTGAGAATGTTAAAAGAAACTGTTGCATGAGTGTCAACTGGTGGACATTTGGAGAATTAGGAATATGAAGGAGAGAGATTATACTTTCTTTTCGCATGTACATGAGACTTATTCTAGATTAGATTACATATTAGTAGAACATCGAATGATAGAGTGGGTGGAGGAAGAAAAAATTGGAGGAAAAACACCCTGTCGGATCATGCCCCAGTTGCAATGAAGTTAAGATGGGGTAGAGAGGGGAGAGAAGGTTATGTATGGCGGTTGAATGAGGCACTTCTCATAGATGAAGAGATTGGTCAAAGAATTGAGAGGGAAATTGAATGGTTCTTTGAAGAGAATGAAACAGAGGATGTGTCGGTTGCGACAGTGTGGGAAGCACATAAAGCCTACATCAGAGGTCTACTCATTGCAATGGGGACAAAAAAAAAAAAAAAGAAAGGAGAGAAAAGATAGATAGATTATTAAATTAAATATATGATCTTGAACAGGTACATAAAAGGGAAAGATCTAAGGAGATAATGCAGCAGTTAAAAAAGAAGAAAGAAGAATTAGAGAATGTAATGGAGGAGGAAAAAAAGAAGAGTCTTTAATAAAATAACATGTGAAAGGTATAGATGGGGAGATAGGCCGGGAAAGTATTTAATGAGAACTTTAAGAAAAGAAGAAAAATAGAAATTATATTGAGAAAATAAGAAATCCCAAGGGGGAATTCGTACATTCCAACCAAGGATATTGCTAGAATATTCAAAGAGTATTATAACAAGTTGTATAATATCATACCTCAGGATACGTTTAAGAAAACGAAAACAGAAATAGAGGGAAAAGAAAGACATACCTAGAGGACGCAGGCCTACCGAGATTAAGAGAAACACAACTGAACTCTTTAGAGACAGAAATAACTGCAGAGGAAATAAAAACAGCGTTAAAAAGCATGGCGGGAGGGAAAAGTCCGGGTCCGGATGGATATACGGTCAAATATTATAAAAAAAATACAAAGAGCTTTTAATACCCAAGATGAAGATCTACATGAACGCCTTGGGGAATGGGATGGAGATAAGGGGAGAATCTTTACAGGCTAATATAGTATTGATACAGAAGGAAGATAAAGACCCCTCGCAATGCGCGAGTTATCAACCAATAGCGCTGCTAAATGTAGACACTAAAATATATGCAAAGGTTTTGGCAAATAGACTGAAAGAGTTGATGCCGGAGTGGATACATAGAGATCAGGTGGGGTTTTGTCTCAGGTAGAGAGGGTAGAGATAATGCTCTGAGATCACTGTTGCTTATACAGGAGGGTAAAAAAAGGAAAAACCCCAATGATACTGATGTCGATAGATGCTGAGAAGGCATTTGACAGGGTGAGTTGGGGTTTTATGATGGATACTCTGGAAGCATTAGGAATTGGAAATAGAATGAGAGGGTGGATTGGAGAGTTATATAGAGGCCCTACCGCTACCATAATGATAAATGGAGGAATATTTCAAAATGTCAAATGGTACAAGATAGGGATGTCCATTGTCGCCATTGTTATATGTGTTATCATTGGAGCCCTTACTGTCCACGATTAAGAACATAGACATAAAAGGAATAAAGATAGGAGATAGAGAACATAAGGTAGTGGCTTATGCGGACGATTTGATGTTTTTATGTTGGAAACCCCAGAACATCACTTCCAAACTTAATGAAAACATTGAGGGAGTATGGAGAACTGTCGAACGTCAAAATTAACCCGACAAAGACTGAAATCTTAAATATAAACCTTAAAAACAGTGAAAAGAAAAATTACAAAAGGAACTCCCTTTCCTTTGGAGAGACAAAGATTTGAAATATCTAGGAATAAAACTATCAGCCTCAATTAAGAACCTATATAAAGCCAATTATACAGCATTATTAAATGAGATTAAGGAGGAGTTGAGGAAAGTGGGAATTGGAAAACCCATCGTGGATAGGTCGCATAAACTTGATAAAGATGGTAATTGTCCCCAAAGTTTTATACAAATTTCAAATGATCCCAATTAAACTCCCAGAGGCATACTTTAAAGAACTTAGGAAAATGATAATAAAATGTATATGGAGGAATAAAAAGCCTAGAATAGGCTATGAAATGTTGATTAGAAGTAAAGAAAGAGGAGGATTGGGGGTACCAGATTTCAGGAGATATTATAAAGCGGGGATTATTGCGAGAATATTTGACTGGATTCATAATCCGGAGAAAAGTTGGGTTGAAATTGAGAAAGCACTGAGTGGAATAAGTCTAAGCAAAAGTATTTGGTTACCTGCACAATATAGGGAATTAGAGGAGAGCACTAGTATGTACACTTTTAATGTTTTAAAAGAATGGGATCTATTACATAGACAAAAGGGGTGGGTTTATAATTCACAATTATTACCACTTAGGAACACAAAATATTTCACCCCGGGTAAGGATAGCATAGCAGGGAAATGGATTATAAAAAAGGAGGCGCAATTGAGAGATATAATGGTAGGAGAGGAAATCAGGTCATATAAGGAAATGGAGGAAAGAAAGGGAGAAGTCTTTAATAAGATGGATGGATATTACCAATTGAAGTACTTTTTTGAGAGCCTCCCAAAAGCCTATAAGAACTAGAAAAGACTGGAATCCATTTGAGAGAATATTTGAGTCACGGGGAAATGGTAGACATGGAACGGCAAAAATATATATAAGATACTAATGGATCTTGACACTAACACAAAATTAATGCACATAGAGAAATGGGAAAGAGATATGGGAAGAAAAATAGAGGAGGAGGAGCAGAGGAAAATGCTCACACTAATTCACGAAAATATTAGTATGCGGGAAGTAGAAATAAATTATAAGTGTTTGCATAGATGGCACATTACTCCTAATGTGGAGCACAAGATGAATATGGAAATTTCACGGATGTGTTGGAGAGGTTGTGGACAGGTGGGCACGTGGTATCATATGTGGTGGGAGTGTCCAGAAATACAGGTGTTCTGGCGGAAGATAGTTTATTTGATAGGGAAAATCACTAAAATCAAAATAGGATTGGATCCGGAATTATGTCTCCTCCATATTTCAGAACTCTCAGTGAAAGCATATAAGAGTTCCGGGATATGGCATTACTTGACCGCAGCAAAAAGCCTGATACCCAGGTTCTGGAAGAAAAGAGAGGTGCCAAATGAGGAGGATTGGACGGGTAGAGTAAACCAGATTGCAGGGACAGAAAGATTGTACTATACGCATGAGGACAAGTTGGAGATGTATAATAAAAAATGGAAAGGCTGGGAGGAATACAGAGAAAGGGTGAAATATATGAAGAGATAATACCCCTGGAAATGGGTTTAGAAACGGGTTTAAGAACAACAGAATAATATGGACTTAATCAGAGAAGAGAAAATGTGGAGTGGGGGAGGGAGGGGTGGAGTGGGGGAGGGAGGGGGGAAGGGGGGAGGGGAGATGGTAAGAAAAGGAAGTTATATATAAATAAATTATGAGGAGAAAATACGGGTTGGTTAACTATTTTAATAGAAATGTTGAATTGTTTTGTATATGACTTGAAAAATTAATAAATATTTATAAAAAAAAAAGAAACCAGTAAACCCAAAACAGGTGTGTGTTTTTTTAAGAGCAGGACAGCTGTCAGCAACACATCCAATATCATCACACTGATTGGAGTCAAGGTTGGCTCACTCCTGGCTCCAATTAGCTCTGGGAGAAGTTATTAGGCTAGGGCCTCACTTTTTCCTCCCTGCACTGTAAATGTTTACATGTTATGTGCAATTAAACCATGGCAACATCTAATGTTTGTGTAGTATTATGTTCAGCAGACTGTGTTCTTCTATTGTTGTGACATAGATGACGTTCAGAGCACATTTTTATGCCCAATTCATGCAAAACTCCACGTAATCCCAAGGGATTCACATACTTTTTCTTGCAACTGTATTATTTTATCTAGGCAGCTAGCTGCCCAAAAAATTTATGAAAATCGTCCCTGAAATATTTGGTGCCTATTTTTCATATAATATTGTGTTTGTTGACATTTTTAATCAATGCCTTTTGATTAGTGTTGTTAGGTTTTGCTTATTCTGAAAATAAAGATATAACCTACCTAAATATATGGAATGGTATTCTAAAGCTGATATTATTCATAGCTTGGGTAATCTTAAACTTAATTCATATTAGAAATGTATATTGAGTTATTTACATATCTATATACTGTATTCAGTTATGTAAGTAAAAATGGCTATGTGGATTATGAAGGTTGTTGTTTGATGTAGATAAGTTATCTATTATAGAATGTTTGCTGTTGGAATTAAAAAGTCTAGCATTTGTGATAAATACAGTGAATGCTTAGTTAAAAATAGTGGTTAAGTGTTATAACGGGAATACGATTTAAATTAATAAAATAGATATATTTTTTTTAAATAACTTTTTTTTTTTAAATTGCATACATTACCTTAGAGCATGTAGAGTAGAAATAAAAATAACAATCATCTCCTTGGTTGGACATATAGACCTGATGGTGTACGTAGTTAAACCAATGGTTTTGAGCAACTATGGAGGCACAGATGTTTTGGGATACACCAACAACCTGCTGTAAAAAAACAATACATACAAATAACACACAGTTATTAAAAAATATATTAAAAAAGGTGTTTTTTTTATTATTATTTTTTGTAAACAACATGTTCTACTCACCTGGTCTGTGCAATGGTTTTGCACAGAGCAGCCCCAATCCTGTTCTTCTCTGGTCCTCTACTGAAGCTCCTGGATCCTCCCCCTTGACCATTTCCCCCAATAGCAAGCCCCTTGCTATGGAGGCACTGGTGTATGCTCGCTCCCAAACCCTGCTCTATACGTCCATAAGACACATAGGGCTGCGGCTCTGCTCTGCCCCCCCCCTCTTTTCTCATTGGTTGTGATTGACAGCAGTGGGAGCCAGTGGCTCCCGCTGGCGGGTCTCAGCTAATGAGGAGAGAGAGACCTGAGACAGCCGAGGCTCCCGTGCACATCGCTGGATCAAGAGGGGGTTCAGGTGAGTATTAGGGCTACTGTGGCTGCACACAAGCTTTTTACCTTCATGCATAGAATCCATGAAGATAAAAAATCCTTGAGGGCCAACTCACACTGACTTCCGCTAAAAATGTATGGAAAATGCATGTATATTTCCATCCATTTTAGTCACGTTTTAACGCCCGCTGACATCCACTGACATGCATGCGCAGCGTTATGGTATGAATAGGACTTCTGGTTTTGAGATGTCCTTCCATTGATCTTTACCATTTGATCTGCGTTTTTCAGCTGCGCTAAAATGAGGATCAACCCACTGCTGTGAATTGGCCTTCAGCCTTTATAACCACTTGTACCACTCAATCACACACATATATGTGTATACATACACACACACATATACACATATATATATATACACACAAAAAATTGTCTAGAACAAAAAAAAAAAAAAAAAAAAAAAAAAAACCATACAGAACACCAAACATTCTGTAGCAGTACACAAGAAAGTGACGTAATGTTACTGTCCTAGTGACGTAATTTACAGTAATACGCATTGCATAATGGTTCAACTGGATGAAACCCAATGGTGGGGATTCCCATTTTGGACACATATGATGTTCCTACTTTCTTTTGCTGGATGCTGCCACTGCCCATGAATGATAAAATTATATTTCTCTCTGACTGACCTCAACTGTGACTACTCGATTGTGGATTGTATATTCTTGCTGCGCTGCTGGGATTGCAAAGAAAATAATACATACTCTGTATGTAGAGAGTTCTATTAAAGGTGAGAAACATTTTTCCTTCTCTGGCAGGCAACTGTTAATTTTTTTGTTAAGATCTTGGTGGGAGCCACAGCTTGGAAGGGGAAATTGTCTTCATTTCTGTCTGCCTCCCTCTACAGTGCACTACCTGGTAGTGCCAGTGCAGGTACAGTACTGCGCACTACTTATCCAGGGACTATATCGGTGCCCCAATCTACTTGTCCCTCATGACAATCTACTTGTCCTGCTAAAAAATAAACAAATTTGAACCAAAACCGTATTTTTGTAAAACCCACGTTTTACAATAAAAAAACTTTTTTTTTTACTTAATTTTTTTTTCTCCACATAGAGGACAAAGCCCCCTATATGATTGTTTCTGGTAACAGGTTCTCTTTATTGAGACGTCCAAGGTCTAAAACACCCTGGATTCCTTCCCTGATTGTAATGCAGTGCACATCGCATTACATCTTTCCTGGCCTAGATGGCCGGGAAATCTTACAAACGGGGGACCCGGAAGTGACAGCAACAGTGCCTGAATGCTTTCACCTGACAGGTGAGCCCTGCTGTTTGCCCGCAGCAAGGCTGAAGGATTTAAAAAAATCCTAATCCTGTGCAATCAGGGCTCATTCATAACAGAGTGGCAAGGACTGCCACTCCTCTGAAAAGCAACCCATGCTCTGATTGCTTTTAAAGGTCTTAACAGGGAAAGAGGCAATATGTCGCCTCCTCATTGCTGGTTTTAACCCCCTAAATGCAGCATCGCCGTGCCGCAACAGCGTGCAATGCACACCATTGCGTGGTGGTTGCAGTATGGCCTTATTCATCTAGTGCAACACTACCAGCTACAACCAAAGCATATGTGCAACAAATAAGTAATATTAAAACATAATAATTATAGTACTGAATTAATAATATAAAATATTCATCAGTGTGAAAATTCATGTGCAATAAATCATTTAATTTGTGATCAAATAAAGTCCTCCAAACCATGCATGAAAAGATTTTTAACCAAAATTGATGAAATCAAATGAAACGTTCATCCCCCTTGATTCAAGACAGAATGGATGAACATGTAGGGTGGAGCATGATGCTGGGAGTGAGTAGGAACCGTGTCCTGTAATTTTTGCTCTGTGAGCTGGGAAGGATTGGAGTGGATGGCAGACAGCAGCTTCTCTGTATATCTTTGCTGACACATTTTATATGCTTTATTTTAACCACTTGCCTACCAGGCACTTATACCCTCTTCATGCCCAGGCCAATTTTCAGCGCTGTCGCAATTTGAATGACAATTGCGCGGGTCATGCAACACTGTACCCATATGATATTTTTATCATTTTTTTTCACACAAATAGAGCTCTCTTTTGGTGGTATTTATTGACCGCTGTGTGTTTTATTTTTTGTGCTAAAAACAAAAAAAATAATAATAATTTGAAAAAAAAAGTTTTTCTTTGTATCTATTAAAAAAAAAAACAGGTAATTTTTCTCCTTCACTGATGTGCGTTGATGAGGCTGCACTGATAGGCAGCACTGATGGGCACTGATAGGTGGCACTGATGGGCACATGTGGGTGGCACTGATCATCAGTGCCGATCCCTTTGCTGACAATTGGCAATTCTCGGCAGTGATTTCCTTACGCTCTAACAGAATGAGGAAAATGCAGCCGATAACCGGCAACTGTATTTACCCGGTGATCGCCGTCATTGGACACAGCTGATAACGTGGTAAAAGGCCGCCATGATTGGCCATTTACCGTAACCCCGTAATCAGCTGTTTAGTTTTGGATAGAGGAGAGGGATTAGAACCCCTGCTAATTTATATTGCCATCTGTGCCCATGTTAAGGATTTTCACCCTCTCTACATGTCTACATGTTTACCATGATCATTGAAAGTAAAATAAAATCCCAAATTTTTGGGTTGTCCTCAAAAAAGTAATAGAGACATTTTCCATTTGGGACATTAGTTCTGGTGACTTGGGGTTTAAGTTAATTTGCAGGGATTAAGCTTATGCTTAAAACAGCTTTTGTGAACCTTGATTAAGAAAAACTATGGGAGCCTGATTTTTTTTTTTCGTTATTTTTATCCTGGCTATGAACTTCAAACACTGAATGGGAGAGGACAGCCGTGCAAGTGAAGCCTTTGAGTGGACTTGAGAGTTAATGGGATAAAAAAAAAAAAAATAACCCTGAGCCTTTTAATCATTAAATGACAAACATGTCATACTTACCTGCTCTGTGCAGTGTTTTTGCACACAGCAGCCCCGATCCTTTACTACTCGGGGGGTCCCCTACCGACGCTCCTGGCCCTCTTTCCTGTTGGGCGCCCCCAGAGCAAACCGCTTGCTATGGAGGCACCAGAGACGATGTGCTGCCAAGCCGCTGCACTGTGTCCACTCACACATGGAGCTGCAGCTCGGCCCCCCCCTTCTCTACTCATTGGCTCACTGGGTGTGACTGACAACAGCGCCAATTAGGAGGGAGAGTCCCCGGCTCTCCTGCACAATCACTGGATTGCAATGAGTCTTAGGTGAGCATTGGGGGGGGGGGTAGT